TTTTTATATTTTTATATATTTAAAGCGAGTTTTTTGGGCAGTGTAGAGTAGGGCTTGTTGTTTGTCATTTCTCCGATCACAAATGCAGACATGGTTTTATGTTTATGCGGCACGGCGTGATGCAACGCGTAAAAAGACAGTAAAAGTCCTTTTACTGTAAATAATCCATAATTATGTCCCCACTGGATGCAACGAATGCCTCTTTATAATGGGTTTTCATGTTTTTGTCTCGTCGCTCCGGCCGGACAGGGCATCATCACAGTATGGTGAGGGGCGTAACATTTCTGTCACACGCTTGAGGTATTCGGCCAATCATAACGCACTGGATAGCTGGCCAATCACAGCATACCTCGCTTTTTCAGACCGATGAGCTTTGTAAAAATCGACGCGTTTCAGAAAGGCGGGGCATGGAGGAGAAACAATAATGTACAGTATGTGGAAAATAATGTGTTTTTTTTAACCTTAAACCGCATAAACACATTTCATTACACCAAATACACCAAATAATGTTCTTTTTAGCAGCATCATATGACCTCTTTAAGTACATTAAATTTGTGCGTACTGTTAATCTTAATATGTTAATATACATAAAAGCATAAAAAAATTATGCACAGGAAGTTCCAGGAGTGATGATTCAGATGACTCAGAGAATCATTTTGCTGAATGAATCGACTCAGTAAAAGTGTTCGTGAAGAACTAGACATTAAAAATAGTCAGATAAATATAAAATTATTGATTTATAGATGTTGATTATATCTATAGAAATAACACATTTTACCATTATTGCAGAATATGTCTATATTTAGAACTATTTAAGCAGTTTGAGAGCATAGGGAAACTATTACATCATTCGCAGTGCTAAAGAGTTTTTTTTTGGTGTGTTTTACTTGATTCAGTTATCTGACTGGTTGAGATTTCTTTGCAGAATCATGGGTAATGTAGTCGTTCTCCAGGAGTTCCACATTTAAACACAAGTATTGTTAATAATGTAAGCATACCATCGATTAACAACCTTGTAACTGACAGTAGATCTGCCTTTAATGGATTATGAGTTAGCTTTAAAATCAATTCCCTTATGAAAAAAATGAATGGGATTGTTGCATTCTATTGGGTGACAAAACTACATTTCCCATGATTCTCTTTGGCTGCACAAGTCACAAAGATAAAATACAGAGTAAAGTGTAAATTAGGCACCTAATGCACATCCTTTCCTCTTCTTTTTGTTGCAAGAATTCTGAAACAAAAAAAAAGCTTAAAAATGTCCAATACATAGATTTTTTTTTCTGAACAAAATTAGCAAAAAGATAATTAGCTATGGCTTGTAAGTGCAACTTGAAGGCAGCAACACTTGACTTACCTTCATGGTACTGAAAAATTTAGTTAAAGTTAGTGGCATTGTTCCTTTCAGTTGGCTAAACCCAAGACTGATGCTAAATGTATTAATTTGCATTTATGCATTATGCATTTTATCGAAAGCAACTTAAAAAATTAAAGCAAATGTAAATAGTAAGTGCAAATTTAATATTATACAATTTGTGCCAGTAGATAAGCAGTGTAATTTAGCAGATAAATTACATGATATTGTACTGTGAGGAAGGTGAAGGCTATTCTGAATATTCATCACCTTTATACAGGGCTTATGTTTAGGAAGTTTGCCAGCTTCCCACATGCTAATGCTAGCGCATGAAGTGTTCCAGACCCTTCGTTCTGTGCCGTGCAAGCGCTCAGAGCATCATTAGTACAGAGCCAAATCTGCATTAAAACAGCAGCGAGCATGACTAATAAACACAAATCTGTTCATGCCATGTAAGATGCTCTCTTAACTAAGGGCTTTGGTGCTGCATCATGTGCTAAAAGCTGCTTTAGTTGCCTTTAGAGTAGAGCGCAATCGAGTTTCCATGAAGTGATGCTTGGTGATTTATTTATATCCATTTTTGAAGGCTGCTGTAGTGAGCATACTGACAAAAATGTGAAATTAGTACTAGCCATCGTCTCTTTGCTCATTGTGTCTCATTTTATGGATGTAGTAATTAATAGTGATGGTTAAAACACATCTGCGATCATGACAGACCTCCATTAAAATCATTTTCTCTCCTACCAATCCATATATGCACAATCATTTCAGTCTGCTACATTTAATCTGGAAATATAGCCGATGCTCATGCTGCATTCCATTCATCGGCTGAATAACACTGATTAGTTTTGGCATTGTATTGATTGATTGAATGATTGATAGTCTCTCTGTCTGCAGGTCAGATGATTCCTCCCCAGTCTCAACCACTGACCACAGAGGGCAAGAATGACGTGAGCCGTGAAAACAGTGCTGTGGACTTCAGCAAGGTAAAGATGCAGAATGAAATATAAGTACACTACTTGTCAAAAGTTTGGAAACATTACAAGGCTGCATGTATGTGCTAAAAAAATACAGCAAAACAGTAATATTGTGAAATATTATTACAATTTCAAATAACTATTTTCTATGTTACTATATTTTAAAATGTAATTTATTCCTGTGATGCAAAGCTGAATTTCCAGCATCATTACTCCAGTCTTCAGTGTCACATGATCCTTCAGAAATCATAATAAAATGCTGATTTGCTGCTCAGGAAACATTTCTGATTATTATCAATGTTGAAAACAGTTGTGCTACTTAATATTTATGCAGAAATCATGATATACAACCATTCAAATATGGGTGGGGGGTGTTTAATAGAAATGAATGCTTTTGTATTTTGTCAAATTATGTATTAAATTACCATATTGACCCGAATATAAGACGATGTTTTTTTCTTGGAAATACATCTGAAAAAAACGCAGTCGTCTTATATTCAGGGTCTAGACTTTGACATGTAAATAATACACCCACAACAATAGGTGGCGCCAAATACGCATAAAACGAGTGTGCCATGAAATACGTAATGTAATCAGGGTCGTCTTATATTCGGGCCAATACGGTAATTATTAATTAAAAGATTCTGTTTCAAATAAATGCTGTTCTTTTGAATTTTCTATTCATCAAGAAACTCGAAACACCTGAAACCTGAAAATGTTTCCACAAAATATTAAACAGCAAAAACTGTTTTTAACATTAATAATAAGAAGAACCATGATCAATAACTGAGCACCAGTAATAATTGAGCAGCAAATCAGCATAATGATTTCTGAAGAATCATGTGGCACTGAAGACTGGAGTAATGATGCTGAAAATTCAGCTTTGCATCACAGGAATAAATTACATTTTAAAATATATTCAAATAGAATATAGTTATTTCAAAGTGTAATAATATTTTACAATATTACTGCTTTTACTGTATTTTTGATCAAATAAATGCAGCCTTTTTTAGCATAAAATACTTCTTTCAAAAGCATTAAAAAAATCTTAACCCCAAACTTTTGAAAGGCAGTTTATATAACCAGATGTGATGCATCATGTTTTTATTGCACAAAAGCAAAATAAATAATAATAATAATTTTAACATTAATTACATTAAAAGTACATGCATTTTCTTGCTGAATGCAATATAATGTAGAATTATAAAAACATGCAATTATTTCCAAACATTTTATGGATGTTCTTAATCCCCCCCCCCGCAAAAACACAAATTTTACTGCATTCTATAGTGAAATGTCCTTTCAATTCTATTCTCATAAATATTTCACCATATATAGTGAAGTATCTTAAAGCTTCTTTTAAAATAACTAACACTTTTACAGTGTGACTTACAGTCCAGTACAGTACATAGAGGTCTGTGTGTTTTCTCTGAAGCCGTCTGTTCTGGGAAGAGGGATTATGCTTCAAACACACTGTGGTTGAAACCCTCTTTACCTGACATTAGACTGTTCTGTTTCTTGTATTAAGTGGGTATTATGTTGTGATCCCATGAACAGATGAGCAGGCAGCTGCGGTGCTGTCAGGTTCACAGGGGTCGTGATGAAATGCTGCAATTAAAATAGAGAGTAATATTATGAAATCTTACGCAACACATGGCCTTTTGCATTATGCAAACATACATAATCTCTTTTTTTTTTCTGTACATCATTTTGACCTTGGACCCTAAACCAGTCTTAAGAGCACATTTACACAGAAAACAGAATTCCAGAATTCTACAAAGAGCTTTATGGATTTTTTTTTTAATGCTTTTTAATATTGCATATCGAGATTTGAAAATCAAATCTCATATCCTATATATGGATGGGTTGCGTAATTATGGTGACTTCAAAAAACCAGCACACTGAGGTTAAGTTTTTTTTTTGTATTATTGAGGTACTGTTTTTATTTATATTTTGAATTAGTTTCAAATTATTTTAAAATTTCCATTGAAATTTGAGTTAACTTTTTAGTAATTGTGTGTTTTTGTCATTTTATATATATTTTTTGTTTGAACATTTATTTTATTTAAAGTAACAAAAATGTTTTTGTTAATATTTTGAATTAGATTTTATTTTTAGTTAAAGTTTTAGTAATTTTGCTGTGTTTTTGTCATTTTATTATTATCATTTTTTAAGTATGTTTATTTAGTTTTAGTTATTTTAATATTTCAACTTAAACTAAGCAAAAATGCGAAATGTTGTCTTGGCAACTAGCCGAAATAAAAAGAAGTTAATTTTTTTTTAATACATAATTTATTTTATTTGAGTTAATGTATATTTTATTTAAAGTATTGGACTTTTTTTTATGGTTTTGGCTTTATAATAATCCTGATTATAACCTACACAGTCTTTTGATCTTTTCTGAATGAATTAAGTAACTGATCAAACATGTTCTTGTCCCATAATTTCCCCCCCAAAAACACCTAGAACACCCTAGCAACCTCCTACCAACCAAGATCACCATAGCAACCGACTAGCAACACTGTAGAAACTGCAAAAGTATTCACGCTCCACAAGGCTAACACTCTTTTAAACTCTCTTTAGTCTGTCCATTTATTTATTTAGATTAGCTTACGGTCTGTATGACGAACCAGTTCAAAACATCCATGCAAGACTGTTCTCAATATGCCTGTGTATTTCTCATCTAGTGATGCAGGAACCTGACTCTGCATAATGATTTGTGTGTAGATAGACCTGCACTTCATGAAGAAGATTCCTCCGGGTGCAGAGGCCTCTAATGTGTTGGTTGGAGAGCTGGAGTTTCTGGACAGGCCCATCGTGGCGTTTGTCCGCCTCTCTCCTGCCGTACTGCTGAACGGCCTGGCGGAAGTTCCCATCACCACCAGGTGAACGTCTTGGTGAACAGCTTGTGAAAGCCAACATAAGAACACAGTTACATTACTGTTTTGTGCCTCATCTCTCAGGTTCCTGTTCATCCTGCTGGGGCCTCTGGGTAAAGGACCACAATATCACGAGATTGGCAGATCAATTGCTACCTTGATGACAGATGAGGTAAGAGGACATGCTGTTTACAGTACTTTGTTTTAACAAAGTACTGTTTGTATTGACTTTGTATTTTTGATCCAGAGGCATTTTATAATCATTCAAAATAGATTTTATAAAAACTGATTCTAAATTCTGATTGAATGAGCTGCATTTGAAGTTATTATGAAAATGAAGGTTCACTTATATTAAATTGTCAACTCAAAATTATTTTATTAAATATTTTATTTTTTTTATTTATATTTGTGTAATCAAACATGATTTTTTTTAAATGACACAAACCAAGTATTTAGTTATGAAAATGAAAGTCCACTTACATAGTGGTCAACTTGAATTAATTTTATTAAATCATTATATTATATATTATATTATTGTTTATTTTTGTGTATATTTTATATTGATATTTATATTTTATTTTATTGTTTTATTTTTATTTTACAATTCCAATTTCTGTAATTTGTTCGAACGGGAATTTTTAGAGTGACACAAAGTGACTAATTAATTATGAAAACGGACGTTGTCATCTTTAAATTATTTATTATATTATTTTTATTTTTTGTATATATTTTATATTTTTTATATTTATGGTTTTATTTTTATCTGATTTCTGTAATTGGATCAAACAAGAGTTTTTAGAGTGACACTAACCAAATAATACCACAGAAAACATCGAGGACTTCATCAAATCCATCAAAAATGATGTCCCTTTAAAAAAATAAAAATAAAATAAATAAATAAATAACTGAATGGTATTATATTATTTTTATTTTTTGTATATATTTTATATTTTTTATATTTATGGTTTTATTTTTATCTGATTTCTGTAATTGGATCAAACAAGAGTTTTTAGAGTGACACTAACCAAATAATACCACAGAAAACATCGAGGACTTCATCAAATCCATCAAAAATGATGTCCCTTTAAAAAAATAAAAATAAAATAAATAAATAAATAACTGAATGGAAATGGAAAAAAACATACAAATTAATGATCTATCAACACAATATTCCAAAGAGAAAGATATTTTCTATGCAAGATATTTTTTTATTATATAAAATTGTCTGTTTTTGTCATCCACTCAAACCAAACGTACGTTTACTCAACTGTGATAAAAGAAAGCTAACTAATATGATTTATATCTTTTAAAAATTGTTTAATATTTTATCCAACATAGAGAGACATAAAAATGTACTTCATGGAAGGAGTGACCCATTAATTATAATAAATGTAACTCATTATTGAAGACTGCCATCTGTTGCTTTGCTTTGCTTTCTATCTAAAAACTCCCCACAAATTTCTGACCGTGAGGGGTTATTGTTTTAGTAAACTGGATTTCATGCAGACTGAAGCCGTCTCACAGAGATGAGAGGACTGGAGACTCCTGAGGTCTTTCACAACTCAGCACATTCTCTCTTACTTAGTCTTAGAGGTGCAGAGGAGACTTGCAGAACAGCCCTAATAACATGCAAATGACTGCTAATTAGCCAGAAAACCACCCTTGTGCCAAGCTGCTGCTTGATGTTGCCAAGGCAACATCTCAGGACGTTATCGAAGAGCATGAAAATTAGAATATGTACTTTTTTCCAGGCTTCCAGTATAAAAGAGTCTTAAAGAAATAACTTGTCTTTAAATGAAAAACATTCATTTACTGCATTGTTTTCTTTCTTTCAACACAAACAGCTACTACTCTCAGAATTCTGTTTATATCTCGCAATTCTGACTTTTTTTCTCAGAATTCTACATTTATATCTTGCAATTCTGACTTTTTTCTCAGAATTCTACATTTATATCTTGCAATTCTGACTTTTTTCTCAGAATTCTACATTTATATCTTGCAATTCTGACTTTTTTCTCAGAATTCTACATTTATATCTTGCAATTCTGACTTTTTTTGTAATTCTGAGTTTACATCTCACAATTCTGACTTTTTTCAATTGTGAGTTTATATCTTGCAATTCTAATTTTTTTCTTGCAATTGCGAGTTTATATGCCACAATTCTGTTTTTTTTTTCTCAGAATTCTGTTTATATCTCACAATTCTGACTTTTTTGTCTGAATTCGAAATTCTGAGTTTACTTTTCGCAGTTCTGACCTTTTTTCTCAAGAATTCAGTGTTTAAAGTTCTGATTTTTTTCTTCTTGTTTTTGGAATTATTAATTATTAATTATTTTTTATGACTTTTTTTCTCAGAATTCTGAGTTTATGTCTCGCAATTATGACTTTTTTTCTCAGAATTCTAAGTTTACATCTCACAATTCTGACTTTTTTCAATTGTGAGTTTATATCTTGCAATTCAAATTTTTTTCTTGCAATTGCGAGTTTATATGCCACAATTCTGTTTTTTTTTCTCAGAATTGAGAGTTTATATTTTGCATTTCTAACTTTATTTATACAAATATAAATACAAATAAAAAACAGAAATATTTATATATAAAAAAAAGTCATATAAACTCAGAATGACTTTTTTAAATATATATATTCCGCGGTGGAAATCAACATCCATACAATTTTTGACTAAGAATGTTCCGGTTTTGTCTTTTGTAGGTTTTCCATGATGTGGCCTATAAAGCTAAAGACCGCAATGATCTGATTGCTGGAATCGATGAATTTCTTGACCAGGTTACAGTTCTGCCGCCAGGAGAATGGGACCCGTCAATCAGGATAGAGCCACCAAAAAACGTCCCGTCCCAGGTCAGTGGAACAGAAACTAATGTATGGACCAGAGAAACTTACAGCAAGACAACACAGAGCTCATATGTAGGATAGAAAACAGAAGGATTGAAGTTTATTTACTCTTAGTCAAAAGACTACATTTATGTTTCTGGTGATCTGAAAAGGCTTTTGATCTGAAGACATCTGAAAAAGGTTTTGTACACAAATACAAATTGTGCATAAATAGACATTTCTGTACAAAAGGAATCTTTTAGTTTCATTGACAGGGATGAGGTGCAGTGCGCGGTGAAGGAAAAGCATCAAGAAGTGCTCATCATGCATATTCCTCCTTCAGAAGTGTTTGGCATTATTGTGGTTATTATCAAATCAAAAACTGTTTGTTAAGTCAAATTCAGTGTTGTCTGTCACACATGTACAGTAAGTCACGTGATATAATGCACATGATTTATAAAAGCACAGCTGGCTGTGAATCTCCATCTGGTTATAAAGATTAAAATGGAGCATTTACTGTTGAAATCTCTATCTAGAAAATCCTGAAGAGAGGATTAACTATAACACTGCACTCTTAAAAAAAAGAAAAGAGTGAAAAATGCTGTTCAATGATATAAGCAATGTTCAGTGCTGTTCAATGATATAAGAGCAGCACGCAGACATTCTTAAAAAAAAAAGCATTAAAAATCCTACATCTTATTAAGCAAGAATGAATTAAATTGATCACAAGTGACAGTAGAAACATTTATGTAACAAAAATATTTGTAAATGCTGTACTTTTGACCTTTCTATTGATCAAATAATCCTGAAAAAATAAAAAGTATCAAGGTTTCCACAAAAATATGAAGCAGCGCAACTGTTTTCAACACTGATAATAATCAGAACTGTTTCTTGAGCAGCAAATCAGCATATTAGAATGATTTCTGAAGGATCATGTGACTCTGAAGACTGGAGTAATGATGCTGAAAATTCAGCATTGAAAATATATTAACATTATAAACGGTTATTTTCAATTGTAATTAATACAAGTTTACCGTATTTTGATCAACTGAATGCAGCCTTAAATGAGCATTCAAAAGCATTAAAAAAATCTTACACTCTAAAAAATGCTGGGTTAAATACAACCCAGTGCTGGGTAAAATAGGGACAAACCCAGCAATTGGGCTGTTTTGACCCAGCGGTTGGGTTAAATGTTAAACCCAACCGCTGGGTCAAAACAACCCAATTGCTGGGTTTGTCCCTATTTTACCCAGCACTGGGTTGTATTTAACCCAGCATTTTTTAGGGTGTACCAACCAAAAACTTTTAAATGAAAGTGTAGGTTTAGAACCACATGCTAGTGAGTAAATGATGATAACACAAACTACACTCTAAAAAATGCTGGCTTGTTTCAACCCAACTTTGGGTCAAATATGGACTAACCCAGCTGTTGAGTTAAATATTTTAACCTAAAAGCTGGGTTAGTCCATATTTTACCCAAAGTTAGGTTGAAACAACCCAGCATTTTTTAGAGTGTAAGATAATATTTATAACAACATAAGGTAATCACCCAAAGTTGGGTTGAAACAACCTAGCATTTTTTTTAGAGTGTATGCAGTGTAATTATGGCTATATAGGTTAGTTAAATATATGCAATTAAGACAAGACCAATCATAATGCAGTATGCAAATGTTATGATGACATCATAGCTGTCTACAAAACAAATGTCTGCATGTTAAGCAGGTCGAATTAATTGCAGTAGTTGAACATGTACAGTCACAGATTTAGAAGCAACACTAACCAGACATTTGAGGAATATGACTGCTCTCACAGTCTCTGTGTCTGATATAACAGGAGAAGAGAAAGATCCCTGCAGTGCCTAATGGAGAGCTGGCAGAGACGGAGGAACATGGTGGACATGGAGGCCCTGAGCTGCAGCGCACCGGGAGGTCAGTCTGGAGTGTGTGTGTGTGTGTGTGTGTGTAGACACATCAGAATCACATGTCAGTTTGTGTGAAAGCCTTTGAAAATAAAAATCTCCTTTTAGAGGAAATGGGGGGTGTCTCCTGCTTTTTAGATGTTTTTTTCCTGTGTCCTCTAGAGCAGCGGTTCTCAATTCCAGTCCTCGCGACCCCTCGCTCTGCACATTATGTATATTTCTCTTATCACTTCAGACGTTTGTTCTATTCGACCGTAAGTGCCCTGCGAAATGGAATTCACAGGATATTCCACCATGATTCCAGTTGGAAGGGAACGTACATGTTCACGCGAGACGTGAATTTAAATTGTATTTATTTACACAGGTATGTCACACTTCACACTTCTCTAGTAAGTTTGGTCTCAGGTCATGCGGGGAGCTCTCTTCTAACGAGCTGATGATCTGAATCAGGTGTGTTAAATAAGAGAGACATGCAAAATATGCCGAGCTTATTTCAGAAGAGATTTGAATGTAATCTTAACAACTGTGCCTAGATACCAAAGTCTGCAATCGAATATCTGAGATCAGGATGAACTCTTTTATCATTTATCGTTACATTTTTTCCAAATTATCTGAGCTGTTATTCACATTTTATTGATCTATACACATATTTCTTTAAATTAATTTTAGGAGAAACATCTAAAACAAAGTTGATACATTTTTGTATTATCAGGGTTATTATAGTTCATTAAAACTAAAACCTTAATAAAACATTTTTGTTACTTGAAATAAAATAAACTTGAACTGAAATAAAATATAAAAGAATATTTTTCATTTAACTTGATGTGAAACTGAAATAAATATGACTAAAATGATGTAGATATTTAAAACAAACAAAAACTAATAAAAATGACAAAAGTACTAAAACTTTGAAATTAAAATGAAACAGAAAATATAAAAATAAAAACTAATTCAAAACATTAATAAGACTATAATAATTTCTCAATGATAACAAAATAACACTGTGTATTACATTTTTTTTAAATGTGAAGTTTAATTATGGAAATTAAGTATAATCTGATTAAATATAAATAGCATAAATTTTGGAACAGAAATCTGAATATTGGATAAAGCCAGTTTCAAAATTCTTGTTTGATTTTGTTGACATATTACAGTAGGTTTTTACAGAGGGGATTTTGGATTTCTCTATTTATCACTCCACAAATCAGAAAATATTCTCAGTAGCCAGACGGAAATATATTTTCACCATTTTCTTAGGAATAATGTGTTGTATAAAATCATGCAAATGATATCTGAACAAACCTCTCTGTAAAAACCTTCAGAATATAGATAGGAATAAAACTGTGAAGATTTAGTGTGGTGTATGTAGGTGCTGCTGAATTAGAGAAAAAAAACTCATTTGGATATGTATTGTAATTGAAATGGACAGACACACGTAGATAAAGTACAATAAAATAAACACTTAAACGTGTATCTTGGACGTTTTCTGTTCATTTGTCTGAAACTGTGTTATGAAAAGCCAAATAATCCAAAATCTCAAAAGTGACCATTGCAGGAAAAAAAAGAAAAGAAAAAGTTTTTGCCTGTATGTCTCGCCTTAAACACAACGGCTTAATTCCATAAACTATGAAAGACAACCTCGGAGAAATAAAATGTTCCTCTTTGAAGACAAATGTCTGTAAAAGGTCACGCAGCTCACCGTTGTGTTCATTATGACAGTTAAAGGGCACACACTGTAATAATGTAGATCTTTTAGGACGATGGTTTCATTCTGTACTACAATGTAACCGAGAGCCGTGCCACTGAAGACCAGGTTTTCGACTCTCCAGTGAACTGGACAGATGCCATGTTTGACATTTGGTCACACTCTTCCTGTTGAGTGACAGTTTTCACAACTTTGAGTGACTTTCTCTCTTCTCACAACAATAATCCCCTTCTGTTCTCAGATGGCTCTTTTCTCCCAAATGGTTATCTGATCAGCCCTAATTAATATTTCTTTCTGGTTAAAGAATTATGCCTTAAATAGTATGTATGCACTGTGCACAAAATGTAGTTTTTCTGTATGCATGGAATATCTGGATGATATTTGCCAAATTGTGCTACAGAAAATATGCTTTACCAAAATGCAGTGCTCTCAATTTGACCTTGCATTTCCAGTGCAACAAATGCATTGGATGTAATATCTGCTTTGATTTTAACCTCTTTTTTTACTAATTTTTATCAGACTGACAAATCTTGATTAAACAAAATTTGATTAAAATGAATTAAATACTGGATTTTAAATGTAAAATAGCAGAAAGCTGGACACCACTCACTGAATTGGTTGAATATTTTTACGATTTTATTCTTATATTTATGTGCTACATTGATTTCAGTTTTCTATATTATTCTGAATCATCCATCATTTTTGCCACACCAGTCACCAGGTGGGTGAATTGTGAAAATGTACTGTTTAAAGTATTTATTCCAGACTATGAAATTGTATTTAGCATTGACAAAATTAAAATATATATTTTTGTTCCCATGACAGTGCAACTGTTTTTTCATATGCAAGACGCACCAGACTTTCTGTCTTGCTGTGAAACAACACTGGTCAGAAAACCGTGAATTCATGTGAGGAATATTTCACATATGTGTCGGCACATGAAGAAAAAAACCATCCAGCCATCCTATAGATAAACTTCTTTTTCTGTTTGTTGTTAGATGTGCGACCTGCGAGGAATTCGTTGCACTCCAAAAATAAAATAATAAATCAATCAGTAATAATAGTTTGAAAATGAAGCCTATTTTTAGGTGCATTAAAATAGTTTTGCATTGTGACATTATTTTCATGAGAATTGCACACATTTTGAGGGTTTTGTTTCCAAATTCCTATTATTCTCATTACTGCAATACAGTACAGTAAATAAAATTTTTTTTGCATTATAGTAATGACAGTTTGGAAGAAGATTTTTTAATTGTCATGTAAATAATTGCCTGGTAAGTGTTTATTTTGCACGTAATTCTCTGTGGAATGTAACACTGTGAATTTAGTTTAAGCCAGTTTTCCACCTCTTTCCGCAGCTCAGACGGCAGTAATCTTGTGTCTGGTGTTTTTTGTCAGGTTTTTTGGTGGATTGGTTCTGGATGTGAAGAGGAAGGCTCCGCACTTCCTGTCGGATTTCACAGATGCGCTCAGCCTGCAGTGTTTGGCCTCTTTCCTGTTTCTGTACTGCGCCTGCATGTCCCCTGTTATCACCTTCGGAGGACTGCTGGGAGAAGCCACAGAGGGACGCATAGTAAGAACACCTGAACACATGCATGCACATTTGCCTCGTTGGCTAGTCATTAATATTTAAATCTATATTAATGTAGTCATGTAAACATGATGCTTTGTGACATTTTCTCCCCTTTTCCCAGAGTGCAATTGAATCGCTGTTTGGAGCCTCCATGACTGGAATTGCTTACTCGCTATTTGCCGGACAGCCTCTCACTATTCTGGGCAGCACTGGACCCGTTCTGGTGTTTGAGAAAATATTATTCAAATTCTGCAAGTATGTCTAATATAAAGATCTCAGTGTTTTATATTTTGCTTAGTGCAAACACTAATTTAAATTTTATAAATGAATTAAGGAAAATAATTTACTATCTATCTATCTATCTATCCATCAA